GAATCTTTTCTTCTTCTATAACCTCTGTTAGATCCAATTTTAAAAATAAGTCCTGAACACACTGTTCCCAGATTTAAATTATTCTATAGTACAACAATGTTCCTCCATTATGTTAGGAAGTATCTTTTCCTTTAATTGCTCTCTGGTTCCCTCCAGTTAACCTTCAAAGCCCAGTCTTACCTTTTATTTATTTTCAGAGCCAAAACTTTCCCACAATAAGTTTCCTTACAGTTAATTCCAAAATTATCTGCTGTATTTTTATAAAATTGTTAAATTATTAAAATGAATAACTCTACCCATTTATGGTCTCTTTCCCCCAATGTTCCTGTTATTTCCACTTTCTCAGCTAAGCCCTGCAGAAAAATAAATGCCACTCCCATCACTTGAGAGCCATCACCACTCCCTATTGTAGGGCTTTAATGACTAAAATATGTTTTTCATAGTTCAGCATCAACTGCAAAAAAAGGTCTCCTCCAGCACTTGTTTTTCTCCATTAAATTCCTTCCCTAACAACTCAGTTGTAGCTCCCTCATATCAGAGGTACCTAATATAAGTTTGTATTTAGAGGCTGTTCTCCTGGTACCCCTACCATCAAGACTAGTAGGTGGCTATTAAAGAAAAAGATCATTCTGATTATGATACATAAGCTTCAGAAGACTATCCTGGAGCAATTAGACTGGTTTCTGCTTTGTGGTCCTTCTAACAGCTTTTTATTTTCCATACTTCCTAAAATTTTCACAAACCTTGTTTTTTAAACAAACAAACAAACAAACCATTAGTCCTCTCATTTTAACTATCAAAAAATTGTGCTATTTCAGAGGATAGGTTAGTTAATTATACTATCTGCTTCTGGAAATTGTAATATTCCATTTTCTTCTTTTATCACTTGTAATTGTACCTTAACATTTCATTGATGGTTCTAATTCTAAGCCATCTGCAAAAACTCACTGGGTGTCATATAAAGACAAAAAATAAGAATTGTGCCTACATATGAAATGGGAGGGACTGTGCGGTACTTTGAAGTTGCTGTTTATAAATTGCTTCAGTAATTTAGGACGTGCAATGAAAGTGAATGACTTCTATTACTACAGTGAAAGTGAACTATTCAGTGACTGTTTCACAGTCTTTCTATAACTTTTATACATTCTCCATTTCTCATACTTCTAAGTTCTGGCTCTTTTATAATGATCAAGACCAGGAACAGCCCCTAGCATCACACTATCTCACTCTCCTGGAGTCCCTATATTTATTTCCAACTGCAGCATCTGCAGCATGAGATGCCACAGGATCCTGGATGCCATGGCAGCTTACATCCAAACATCTTCATGTTCATATAACCAACAATACCACAATCCCAAATAATATTTTCCTCATTCCACTTATATTCTGTTTTCTCCCATCTTTAGACAAAGCTACCACTTGCTGTTCTCCAAAACCAATTTAATACTACTAGCTAAAAAATGAATTGAGGAAACATAAATACTGCCGTAATTGATATTCCAGGTGCTACAAACTCTGCCCCCCTCCCTGCAAAAAAATAGCATGGAGGGAAATAGGTCCTGGGGCATCAACATAAACCCAGAATCAAAATAAATACAAGGCACAATTGCAACACTTTTCAGAGCCATTCCATGAGTGACTGAAATATAATTTTACTATAACTCTATAGTAACTTTCTGTTTCGATCACATGACACAGGTTCTAGGAATATTCCAATCTGATTTTTAAAAAAGTTAACTTAGTTGTTAATCAAATTGAGATACAGTTTTGTACTAATAGAACCTTGAGTTCAGTTGGAATGATTTCTTGCTAAACATAAATTTGATTGCAGCCTTTATTTTAATGGTTTTAAAGAAATACAAATGCTTAGAAATGCTTCAGTTGTTTTAAATGAAGTTTTGGGTTTCTTTTCAATGACAGAGATAATAAGATAAACTTTATAATGAGCAAATATTTTTGTTTTTGACACTTTTTAATTTGGTCATTCTGTAACCATCTTGACTATATTTAAGTATACATTAGTGGCTTTACTAACTACATATTCAGAGACTGAAGGTGCAGCTATTAAGAGAACAGCTGCTATCTAAAACATCTAGGCCTCAAAGATAAGACATTCAAGGTTGATTAGAAAGCAACATAAATGAGTCCTGGAACTGCAAATAACAATAGCAGGAGCAGAGTCAGCAGCAAAAATGGAGATCCTAGGCACCAGGCCACATCCCTGCCATAGGTAAACTCAATATATTTGTACTTATCTTGTATAGACTGACAAAAATATATGCCAATGTGGGGAGAATTATGTTTCTGTTTAAACATACAAATTGGTCAAAAAATGACAAGCACGTTGTTAGCAGGTCTCTGTGCAACTTATTATCTGAAGAAGTAAAAAGTCCACATGGCATTTCTCAGTGGATGACTAATGAATGAGGAAAACAGAATCTTACTTAACACGAATGAAATGTGGAATTTTATTCCAACAGCAACCAGTAGAAAGGAATGATGAACAAAACACCCAATATATGAAGGAGAAAAATAGCCCCCTGAACTCAGTAAACTGTACCTCAGCTTGACAAAGTGCATGAAGTCCTTGTAAGACTAAGGCAGCAGGTGTGGCTTGGTCTGGTTTTGTGCATTCATTCAGTACCTGGGAAATTGCAGCCAGCATATCTGCTCCATGTTGGTAAGGCCTAACAAGATACAAAAGTTATCATGTAATTATAGAAAATGACCATAATTGAATGGCTATGCCAAGTTCCACAACTTCAGAAGCAAAATACTCTTTCTATATAATGTGGAAGGGGAATCTGTGGCCATCCATATATTAACACACCATTCCAAGCACTGGCCACGATGGATGGGGCAGCTGGAATCTGAAGTTCAACTTCAACTAGAACAGCATAATTCACCATCCCTACCATAAGAGAAAACATAAAAATACTTGGTATCAGGAAGTTATAAACTTCCATGACATTTTAAAATTCCTTGTTTATTCATCTTAATTATATTCCTTTATTCTTCTTTTTATGTTCTCTCTTATACTGATGTATTTTCTTTAAAGTATCCAATTTAAAAAGTGAACATTAGTATAATGTGTGGAGCCAACCACTGCTCTGTGGTTTAACATTAAGTGTAAGCTCAACTATTGTACCTTATTCAATAAACCATTACTGTGTTGAGTTTAACAAATGCTCTAGTGGCAACTCCAGTAACAGCACAACTTGTGGAAAAGGCATGAAATAAATGGATTTCATATTCAGACATGACAGATTCATTAAGGATTTAGTCATATCTTATCCCATTTTTCAGACAAATACTGTATCTTGAAACAGCTTGCATCGATTGAAAAGAGTGTGGCCTAGATCAGTAGAATATGAGTTGAAAGAATCCTGTGAAGAAGCAGATGGGGAAAAGGGACTGAGCTTGTGATACTGTATCCCTTTAAGATATACAAAGGCCAAACCATACGTTCTTGCAACAGTGTAAGAGCCAGATGATAAAACTGGAATCGAGAAAGGTGAACCTGAAGCTCAGTAAACAGTTTGGTGAAGCAAGGGCACAGTATTGTAGCAATGGAGGCGAATATGTGTAGCTCAGGGTTGAACTGTGGAGTCCTTGGGGTTCTCTGAGCTTGGTTCTTTTCTTGCAAACGTTTCACTACCCGGCTTCACTGAGGATGTTACCTAGCCGGGTAATGAAACGT